TCTTCCTATGCTTCACGGCGAAAATTTAAGCCCTCATCACTCTTTTGGTGGTTTCCTTATTCACCACCAGAGGCTGAAACGATCGCTTAATTTCTAATGGATTCGCCCTGAGTGGTGCGAAGACGGACCTCAAAATCGAACCACTTTCGAGCTGTCAAATCGAACCACTTTTTTATCATTGTGGTTCGTTGAAATAGATAGAAGTATTGTTATCGTTCAAAATAAAAAATAAATATTTTTCAGTAATGTTTTTGATCTTTTTAAAAACGTGATTCGAAACGACTCAAACAGTTAAAAATAACAGTATTATTGCGTATTTTGGACCAAAGTAGACTCCTGCGCTGAAAAAAACCCCTTCGATTTTTTTTCGCTCAGGAACGACTGTGACTTCGGAGAACGTTCTAAGGAGATTTGTGATGATAGTACAAAAGTTCCAGGAAATTTCAACAGATTTTTCCCGCGACAGAAGAGGTTTCAGTGGATATTTTAGTTGCTGCCAGCGAGGTTCTACGGGGGTTCTATAGAGTTTTCATGTTCGAGTTTCACACGATTTGGAGGGAAGTCAAATCGTTGCCATTGGAGGTCCCAGGGAATTTCGACAGCACTTCCATAGATATCGTCGGCCACATTAAATTTGCATCTGATTTGCAACAATTTATACAAATAAAAATTACTATGTTTGATTGCAAGTCAGGTAGAGGATGTGTCAGGGTTTTATTCTTTCTTGACTTCCCTGAAATGAAAAGTATATTTTGCAGACAGAAGCAAAGCACCATGCATTTAAGGAGATTTGGTGCGGTCCAAGGCTCTCGTATTTTAACAAGATGATCCATTCATCCATTCTCGCTACCAACGTCAAACTGCTTTATTATTTATTTTAACTCAAGAAAAAATATGAAATCAATGTCTTTTGAACAAGAATAAATAGTTTGGGGCTTTTTTTCGGATCATGACATGGTCCCCATTCACCGTGCTATGTCACCATTTCATTTACATGCACGGTATTCATTTACCGAACATGTAGAATTTCATTTAACTTTGTTTAGAAATGATCAGAAACATAAATGGAGTGTAATTCACTATTTCACAAACGCTTAAGAATTTGATTTGCAAGGGCACGGTGAATGGAGGATCAGGGATTTTATGCCTCAGAAAATCCCAGGGCGCCGATTGGGACTGAACCCAGGCCATACTGGGGTGAGAGGCAACTATGCTTACCACTCAACACCGGTGCTCAAAGTTGGGGGGGGGGGGGGGGGTCTGGGAATTGAACCCATGACCATCCGCTTGAGAAGCGAACGTGTAGCCTACTACGCCACGAACTCCCTCATGAATAATAGTTGTTTTATACTGGAGTTTTTATTTGCAGGTGTTAACAATTTTAGAGTACGCTATAATCTTAAACGGTGCCGTGACAATTGCAAGTTGAACCAACGATGTTTCATTCTTCTCAGTAAAACACGGATGGTTTCCCAAATACCAGGGGTACTGTGTTAATTTCAACATTTAAGTGAACAAAATAAAACAGCACTTAAATTTATTTATTGTCACGTGCAGTAGATTTAAAAAATACTGTGTGGCAAAACTTATACGTCTTTTTCGAGTGCATTTTTACATAAGAAAATGGAAATAGATGACTTTGAGCTTGATAATGAATCACAAATTGTTTACACTTATATTGGTTAAGAATACAAAACTGTTTCTTGCCACCAAATACGAGTCCCTATCATATACGAGTCCCTATTATATACGAGTCCCTATTATATACGAGTCCCTATTCAGCACAAACACATTGATAAGCCTTTGCATCCCACTTCAGCACACAATGAAGGTAAAAAAGGAGTCGTTGGAGTGCTTCTTTTGTTTTCGCGAACAAAAGGTGTAAATATTCATACGTTGTCCTCTTGAAGGCATCGTACCAAACGTATAATTGACTCGTTAATGCCGAAGTCGTAGATTTCATCGTTTCGGTGTCCAACTTAACCGACACTATTTTTAATTCTTCCTGCACGATAGACCAACAATGGGGGATTAGGCCGCAGAGGCTCTCTACCCTATTTTGTTTGTTGATTTCAAATTCAATTTAAAAAATGTCTCACCTTTGCTTTGAAATATTTTTCAGTTCCGGCGATCGCCAATCTTCATCGTTAACAACTTTATCACTTTCGTCAATTGTTTCACTGATAAATGGACCATCATCATATGTTCGCAGTGTAGGGATTGCATTTTTATCACGATAAGCAACTGAATTCAGATGTTTTACACAATTTTTATCAAAATGAATACTGCACAACCGGTCACTGGGTTTGATTTGAAAATTGAGATCCACCTCACAGAAACTGAGCCACTCTTTTCGTACTGCTGAATCCTTGGGAAACCTGAATAGGCTTCGCTTTTCGTCGTGTCCACCTTTATAATTGCAAAAGTGAGCAAAACACTTCATTCTGAATTTTATTCCACTCCGTAAAAACTCCAGCTATGAACAATGTCAACAAACAATCACAAAGTCACGAATCGGCTCTGCACAAAAAGCCGTTTGACACTTCTCTCTACCAACCGACGGTGATGAAACGTTTATTTCAACACTACCAACACGAAGAAAATTTCACTTCGCACCACTCAGGATTCGCCTATTGAGAAGGGGAGAATTTCCCCTACCTGTTGGTGTTGTTAGTTTGCGTGGGCATTTTCAGTTCGCACGAAAAGGGCTTAACAAGTTTTGAGTACAAAAGTTGATAGGCCTGTTTCAAATGTTACGCGAGTATTATTCATGTGTTCATTTTTAGGCTGTGAACCATTTGCCGAGTTAAATTTAACTCGTAGTTAAAAGTGACATTTCGAAAGTTATTTCTTATGTTCGAAAATCCCCGTGCTGTCGATCGACAGGTTTTCGAGCCACGGTCGTCAAAATTTAACTCCTTGTCTGTCAGAAATAACCACGCTCAGATAGCAGGGTTAATCGATAACTTTCTATCTGTCAAATTTTAACCAAAAGTTAAAATAATCCACCAAATGGTTCAGAGCCTTAGGCTGTGAACCATTTGCTGAGTTAAATTTAACTCGTGGTTAAAAGTGACACTTCGAAAGTTATTTTCCATGTTCAAAAATCCCCGTGCTGTCGATCGACCGGTTTTCGAGCCATGGTTGTCAAAATTTAACTTCTTGTCTGTCAGAAATAACCATGCTCGGATAGCAGGGTTAATCGATAACTTTTCATCTGTCAAATTTTAACCAAAGTTAAAAAAAAAATCGCCAAATGGTTCAGAGCCTTAGGCTCTGAACCATTTGGTGGATTATTTTAACTTTTGGTTAAAATTTGACAGATGAAAAGTTATCGATTAACCCTGCTATCCGAGCATGGTTATTTCTGACAGACAAGAAGTTAAATTTTGACAACCGTGGCTCGAAAACCGGTCGATCGACAGCACGGGGATTTTCGAACATAGAAAATAACTTTCGAAATGTCACTTTTAACCACGAGTTAAATTTAACTCGGCAAATGGTTCACAGCCTTAGTCGATTCAAGTGGATTTGAGGTTTTAAATAAAAAGAATTAAAAGATATGATATCCGACTATGTTCATTTGAAAAACATTCCTCTCCAAAAAATCTAAAAAAAAACATTCAATATTTTTTTAATTCTTTTTCTATGTCCATGTAAACAAACCACTGCCAAATGTAAAAAAGTGAGGTTAACCCGACGGTGTATCTCCCTACATTTCTGACGCCACTCACTCGATGAGAGGACTGGCTAAACTCGCAGGACAAGAGTATTTTAAAACCTCCAGTGAGTTTGAGGTGTTGCAGCAAACCTGCTGACGCCATCTTGAAATCCAATATGGCGGCTTTTGGTTTCAGAAAAGTGAAAATACAGTCAAATATTATTCAATATAGGTATTTTTAGAATCGGGGTGCGGTAAAGAGACCGAAAATCGATGTCCGACACCATTTTGAAATCCAAGATGGCCGCTTCCGATCAGAAAGCGAGAAATTCTATCAAATACCCTTCAATATGGATTTTTTTGGAATCAGGGTGACGTGTAGAGACCGGGTCGGATATCATTGTCCGACGTGAATATTCGACGCCACCTTGAAATCCACAATCAGAATCAGAAAAAGTGGACAAAACCGTCAAATACCCTTCAATATGGCCGAAACGGTTGCGATTTCGTGAATTTGTGAATGCAGAGAACAGAGGACTGCCTCCGCTGTGGTTAAGTTTATTTGCATCGTTATCGAATGTGTATTAATAATTTTTATTAAATGTCTTGTTGGTATTGTTTAAGCTTGTTAGGTTAAATTTTCGTCATTCGATCTATTTGCATAGATTCCTAATGTTTAATGAAATGCGTGGCCATTTGAAATTGTAATATCCAACGAGGAACTCATGTTGCAATATTGCCAAAAACAGTCAATCAGCAAGGAAGCTCTCATTTAACAACTGCGGAAGTGCTCAAAGACCACTCAGTAGAGGGCAGGCGTAAAGATCCAACAGCCCGAAAACAGTAGAGTCATATCAAAATAACATTCTGAACAGCAAAGCCAGGATCAGAAGGAAACATTCAAAACTGTCCACCTTTTTGCCGCCGACGCGGTTTATCATTCTCAAATATTCTAAACATCCCATTTTACCATCCCGATTCAATATCTATCGATAAAACAATAAAGTGTGTGCATTAATCAATTACGACCGAAGGTAATTGTAATCCATTTCCCGTAAGACTAACGTAAAACATAACAGACCGTATTATGATATCTTATAATGACCTATACTAGCCGTCGTCAACTCAACTTAATGATTATCCTGTTTGTGAAACAGTTTTGCCCACGTTCCAATTCAATCTAGTTGTAAGTTGAAGAATTTACCAAATCGTGAAACGTCAAACTTATATAATACTCGCCGAAACCGGAGCAATGAGCAATACCCATGCCATAATAAATTTCGAAACATAGATTAAAAAAAGCATTCGAGCGAATCAATAGCAAACGAAAGAAACTCACCATATTCTTCCAGTGCGGAATCGTGTCCTTCACGTCGTTCAGCTTCTTCTCGATCGACTGCAAAATCTGCTCAAACTCCAACCGCTTCATTTTGCCCGCGGCTTCCTTCTTCTGGATGGCGGCAATTTCCTTCTTAATGCTGGACGATCCCTCGTGCGCTTTTTCAATGTCCGCTTTCAGTACGTCCAGTTCCTGTTTCAGGTCGTCCGCTTCCTTCTCCAGTGCTTCGCGCTCCTCACAGCCGGCTCGAATCGTTTTCTCCGCAGCGAGCACTTCATCCTCCATGCTGGCGATTTTGTCCTCGGCTTTCTTTACGTTTCTTTCGGATGTCTTCACCTCCACCGTCAGTTTGGAAATGTTCGCCGTCAGCTTATCGATTTGCTTCGTCATGTTGTTGATCTTCGCCTGCAGATCCTTCACCATGTTGTTGGTAATGTCGGTGATCTTACTCGTTAACTCATCGACCTGCCTTTGGATGGTAGACGCTGCATCACTGGTCCGCTTGTGCTCTGTTTTGCAATCTTTCACCTGCTCCTCCAAAGCTTTAACTTTCTCCGGATCAGAATGCGTCTGCGCCACCCGCGCTTCCTGCCGTTCAACTTGATCTTTCAATCGCGGTAATTGTTCAGCCAAGCTGGTCACGTCCATCTTCAGGCGCTTGGCTTCGTTTTCCTCGTGCTTCAGCTGAGAGGCCACACGCTGGATTTGCTGTTCCAGCTCTCCCTGCTGTTCCTGGAGGAAGTTGATCTGTGATTGGATCTCCTGAGCGCGGACCTGTAGGTGTTCCAACTCTTTGTTGGACTTTGGTGTATCCGATGCGGACGTTTTGGTTTGCACTTTGGTGCCCATGCGGCCACGTTGCATCGAACGGCCACCACCGGACATGGTACCGGATGTTTCGATGACGTCACCACTCAACGTAACAACACGGTACCGCCTGGCACCGTAGGCGATCCGCTGACCCTGATCGAGACTATCAGCCACCAGCGTGTCACGGAGGGCAAAATAGAACGCCGGCAGAACACGTTCGTCCTCGACGCTGACCAAATCGAACAGTCGGGGCACGTCTTCGGGACTGGAAGAGAAGAAGAAATGCGTTAATTATGAACCAAACCGTAACCGACCAAAACTTACGTCTGAATCCGATTGTGACACTGCTGCTGGTACTGCTGAATCTTCTCCAGCGCGATGAACGATGCCCGGCCGATGTCGTACTTTTTTAGAAAATCAATGCACGCCTGTGCCGCGTTGACCGTCTCAACTACGATGAAATCCAAATTACCGCAGCACGTCGAGATGGCCACGTCGTACTTCGAGTCGATTCCGCCCAAGTTGCCCAACCGCCCGAGAATACCCTGAAGGTGTCCTTCGGCTTTGGCCTTCATCAGCGCATCCAGGACCTTTCCCTGCGACCGGGTGGCCTGCATGGCCTGCATCGATTCCTGCAGTTTGCCTTGAACCGTTCGCAGCTGGTTGCGCAGGTCCTTCTCTTCGGTCACATTTACCTGTAGCTTCCCCTTGGCGGTTTGCAGTTCCGATCGCAGCTGTGGGAGATTCTGTTCCAATTCCTGCAGGCGAGCTTGCTTCTCCTGTAACGATTTGTTGGAATCATCGTAAGAATACTTTAACGTTTCCAGCTTTCGTTTCTCGGTCGTTTCATTGTGTTTGCAAATGTTTAGCTCAGATTCGGCCAACGAAAGAGCGGACTTGGAATCGTCAACGGCCTTCTTCAAATCAATCAGCTTCGTTTGGAGCTTTTCCTTCTCCTCCAGCAGGACTTTGGTTTCGTCCTTCAAGGTGGTCAAATTTACCGCCAACTTCGCTTCGATGTCAGTTTTCTGCTTGGTGAGCGATTCGATCTTCTTTTCGGATTCGGCTATTTCCTTTGCATTTCTCGCCGGAATCGCCCTCAGATCTAGCAATTTCTTCTTTTCCGACTCGATTTGATCCTTGGTTTTCTTCCGTCGCTCGTTCGTTGCCTTCATGTTCGCCTGTACCTTAGTGTACTTGGCCAAAGACGCCTTCACAGCTGCCTCCTTGTCATCCTTCTTCTTGACCAGGGCATCGTACTGTTTGATTTCCTCCTTCACCAGTGTCTCCTTTTCGATGCGCTCCTTTTTCAGCGCTTCGAACGTGCTATCGTGCTTCTTCAGGATTTCTTCAGCCTGTCCACGTTCCACCTCCAGCACTGCGATTTTCTTCTTCTGCTCGCTAATGTACTTCTGAATTTGCTGATTGTTCGTTCTGGTAAGAGAATTCTCCAGCTTCAGATACTCAACAGCTTCGTGCATTGGCTTCTCCAGATCCTTCATTTCGCGCTCGGCCAACTTGCAACGATTGTGCTTCTCCGTTCGGTCTTCATTCAACATCTCCACTCGTCCGCTAATTTTAACCAGCGGCTGTTTGTACCTCGTCGTCCCAACTATGTCCTCCAAGTACTCCAACAGCCCACATTCATTCTCCGTCAGCGCTTTCGGCTTCATCATCGAAATCGATTCCACCTCACCCTGCAGAATCAGGAACCGATTGTGATCCAAATCGATTCCATACTGCTTCAGCAGTTTTGAAACCTCCTTAAAATGCACGCGCTTGTTATCGATCGTATAGTACGACGTATTGTCCCTGAATGCGGTCCGGGAAACGACAAATTCCGAATTCGGAACCGACTCGAACGATCCGTCTTCGCTGTCAATAATCTTCTTAAAATGCACCCCGACCGTGCAGCTGTTCGTATTGGGATGCGACGATGAACTGTGCAACAGGACGGATAACTTCTTCGAGCGAATCTTCTGCGCTCGGTAACCGAACACGAAGAGCATCGAATCGATCACGTTACTTTTGCCGCTACCGTTCGGTCCAATGATGGCCGAAAAGCGCTGATGGAAAGGTCCCAGCATGACCTGCCCAGCGTAGCTTTTGAAGTTGTAGTTCGAAATATGCGTTATGATCAACCGGGGTCCTTTGCACTCCGTCGAGCAATACGGCGGGACTGGAGCCGGAATGTAAATCCCTCCGACACGGGTTCCTCCTGTAAATTAAATTCCACTTAAAACATTCACTTGCAATCCAAAATTCAAACGAATCCCACCTTCCTCATCCTCGGACAGATTGGCGTCGGCATCGATGTCCACTTCCATAGCCTCGGCCGGCGGTTGTTGCTGCTGCCGCGAAGGATCGGCCGCTCCGCCCGAGCGGCGCTTGTTTTTACTCATTGTTCAATTTTGCACACTTTCTTCTAACTTTTCACACCGATTATCAATATTTTTCAATCAGTCTAAAACACAAAATCTACACCAAAACCGAACGCAACGAACTTTTGCACAAAATAATTGAATCTATAAATACAGTTGTTTACAAACTTGCAACTCTGATGTGGACGCTCTTTGGAGGTTAGCGACAGTTTTGACAGCTATTTGAAATTTCATAGCCAACTGTCAGAGGGCAGATTTCAACGGCCGTACACTAAGAAAGTTTTCTGAAGGGGTAATTCTCGAGTAAATTTTCAATAGGTCGTAAAAAATGGGGATAACACGGTATTGACCTTGAGCTTTCTGAAGCTCGTTCTGGAGTTTAATACCCTGTACAGACTATGGCTTATATCATGTAATATAGGCTGTCTTGCAATGAGCACTCATACATAGGATTTCCAGTGAAAACTAGATGTATGAGTGCTCATTGCAAGACAGCCTACACAGTAAAAAAAATGTAATACCGATCAATGTAATTCAAGCTGATGTATGAAATAATGATGTAATATCAAAAAGCAGATACAATATTACATCAATGGATGTAGTTTTGTTCGCAAAATCGATGTACATCGTACAACGTTATATTACACAACCGATGGATTGACCTGGTTGCAGCAGTTTGGATGTAATATTCAACAACTTTTTTTCTGTGTATATTACATGATATAAGCCATACACAGCAAAAGTTGTTGAATATTACATCGAAACTGCTGCAACCAGGTCAATCTATCGGTTGTGTAATATCACATTGTACGATGTACACAGAATCAAATGGTGTGACCGAGGGTGGCGACTCTATCTACGATTCAGAAAAGATTGTGTTTTGCTGTGGCTAGCTGCACGCACGCTGAGTAGATGGAAGGAAGATTTATGTCGATTTTGATGATTTCCTGCAAAAAGATGAAGCACGATGCAAGTAGATGCGAGAAATGAAAGATGATTTTTCGAAGATTGATTCGCTAGTGTGAGATTTTTTGAGCATCTAGAATTGAGATTTAGATGTGTCGCCCCCTCGTTATTAGGTAATTAATTATATTATTAATATTCAAAACAAAAACAAAAGATCAGCGTAACATCGAGTACCTCCTTTTCAAAAGTTCAAGGATAGCAAAAATCTCAATTTATAAAATTAAAACAGATCCATTTTGCAAAGCAAGATTTAGTGATGACAGCCTTCGTTGTCGTTGCCTAAAACGTCAAAAAAGACCTGTATTTTCAAACTTTACATCAAGAAACGAAAAAAAAACAAAATGTTCTCTTTTTTACGTAACGCAAAGCTTTACTACTCCTCCCCTATGTATAATTCGTAACGATATAGGTGACCCCCTCTCCCCCTATAAGCATTACGTATTTCATGAACGTATCCCTCTGAAATTTTTTAATACCCCTCACATCCTGCGAACACAGCCGTTTTTGTTTTGCAAGTCAGCAGGAAACAACTTGAGAATTTTCCGATATCACAAATTGTTTTGCTAATGCACTGCTCACAATTTGCATATACATGCTGTCGAAAGTTCACCCTTTGCTCCATAAATAACGTGTACATGGTGTTGAAAGTGCACCTACCCACATGACTCTTATAAAGTTTGTTTGCATTCTTCCTTTAGCAGTTCGTGCAGGTTCGTTCGTTCGTTACATTGTTTACATCCGAGTATTTGAGCAAGTTTTTTGTTGAAGAATATTAGTAAAAAAAATGCCGAAATGACAATATTTTCAACAATGACCACAATACTTTCTCTGCCGACGGGGATTGTATGAGAAAAGTATCACTTTTAGCAGCTCTAGATCGTTGGATTCTTTTTGACAGCACCAGTTGGATTCTTTTTGACAACCATTTCGTGTTTCTCCGCACCACTCAGCTCACATCACATCAATTCAGTGTCAACATTTCAATGGGGCGTAATTGCTTTTGTAAACAATGGCTTTAGCCGTCGATTTCTCGGGAATAAAAGCTCACACATGAAAATTAATAAAACCAACAAGTACACACTCAGCTACGTTTGGCTTGTTCGGTAATTTTTTACCGAAAATAATCGGTAAACGAAAATTATTACAGATTTTTCGGTAAATCATAAAAAAATTACCAATATTCGGTAAAGTTTTACCGAAATAACGGTGGTCTGATTTTTTAAGTGACGAACTCTGTAAAAAAATTACAGTACGAACTGTAAAATGAGATAATCGCCGAGTTCGGTAAAAAAAATCACCGAACAAACCGTAAAACATAAATCAGATTACCGAACTTCGGTTTGTACAAACTGTCAAACCGTGAAGAAACTTTATTTATAAGTGAACCGTGCTTCGAGGATAAACTAACTTAAAGTGCTGATGAATGGAACCAGGTACAGTATTATAAACAGAAGTATTTTACAACAAACATTTAACAATTACTATTTTATAGACCGAAGAAATTTTTACCATCCAAAATACAATGTCACCCGTTCTATTTGTCAGAAGACCATTCTTGGAGGGCACAAACGATCGCCCCATATGCTGGGTATCTCCTGCTCGCTATTTTCATCCAGCCATTATCCGTTTCAAATATTGCACCAAACCCCCCTGACAAAATTTTCTGAATAAAAACAATCAAATAACTATTATTGTAAAAAGATAATTCAATATAAATGAATCGAAAAAAGTAGTATAATTTAAAAAAAAATATTTCGTTCTCCTTTTACGGAAGTTCGGTAATAGCTACCGAATTGTTCTGTAGAAAATCACCGAATTTTTCGGTCATTTTGACAAATAATCCAAACATCTGTTTACCGATCGTTCGGTAGTTATTTCGTTTACCGAACGGATTACCGAACGTTCAGCTGTTGAAAGTTCGGTAAAAAATTACCGAATACGGTAATCATTTCTAAGTGTGTAGAGGAATATTTTCTCTACCAGCTAGCATTTTTAATTTGGAGTGGTAAGCTTTAATTCGCGAGAAATCAACGGTTAAAGCCACTGTTTACAAAATCAATTACGCCCCTTTGAAATGTTGACACTGAATTGCCTGTTCTATTCCTATCTATTTTTTCTATCCCTGCTCTATTTTCGTCAACACGACACACTCAAAAAAATCCCATCAATTATGTTTTTTCCCGAAAACCCCAAGTAATTACTAGACTGAAAAAATACAGCCAAATGAGTGTCGTTCCCTCTGCACCCAACGTTAGTGCCTATACATAAGCGTACTACAACGCGGCTTTCAACTAAGAGCAACCGTACCAGTCGTTGCCATTTGCGGCACTATTTTACTTATGCACAGCGTTTCCATTTTGGCTTAATCACTCCTCTCTACACCGGTCGTTGCTATCAGAGTCATAATTTAAGTTACCGTTTTCCACACCGGCAAAACAAACTTTTGGCGTTTATTCAAAATAGCAACCGTCTGATGCGTTGCTACCGGGTTGCTAAATTTATGAACTCACTACTTCCCAAGGTGCGGATTGCTATTTCCCCAACCTGAATAGCAACTCCCGGTACGTAAGTAGCGTTATGGTAGAGGTTGGTAAATGTGCCTTACTTACTCATTGGTACGGTTGCTCTAAAGGAGTAACAAGTGTGATACTATCACTTCAGGCTAGAACTTTGGTTCTCTTATGCAATGGTTCATCAGAGAGGGGAAGCTCAGTAATCCTCATCGCATGCTCATGACGCTGTTCTGTCACGGCATGAGCCAACGATGTCGGCCATAAACAAGGGCGTAGCCAGGTTTCGAGCTAGGGAGGGGCGAAAAAAAAATTACCATGGAAAATTTGGCCGAATGCCATTTCACCGAACGCCATTTCCTCGAAAGCCTTTGTGTTGCCGAGTTTAGGGGGGGGGCAGTCGCCCCCCCCTGCCCCTATCTGGCTACGCCTATGGCCATAAACCAACCGTCTCCAACGCTCCACTATGAAGCATAAGATTAGGCCCGCCCACCAACGTCCAGGTTAAGAAACTAGCCAAGGGGAAGGATAACATTCACAATCATATTCATCGCAAATAATGTTTTAGTTGGGAATGTGCTTGCATTTGCCATGGTGGCGCCACTGAAGCATTGACAAAGCCACCAAATTTCTAACTTATCAGTGATGCCAGTTCTTTTTCACGTCTAGTTAGTAGATGTCAGCCCGAAAAAAAAATTACAGTGAAATTTTCAGTGGAAACAATGCTCTAACATTAACATTTATTGTCGACAATAAAAATGATTGTTATAATGTTGTACCCTTCCGAAAACGGCAAAACTGCTACCTAGCTGTACAATGAATGTACATAATAAAATGTTGTTACAATGATTTTTATTGTATTTTTAATTTATTTTATTGTTAACATGATTCGATCACGAACAATAATCAACAACTCTATTACAATCAAAATTTTTGTTACATTAAATATTGGTGTGTTTTCACTGTGGGTTACTTCACGAACAATAAAAATAAATCTGATTGAAGCATGCAGATTATGAGAGGGTCAGCAACACTGCCAATGTAATCAAGATAGGCGCTGCCCGTATGGCTCTGGCTTTGACAGTTCGTTTGGCTCTATTCGTTGCCAAGTCAATTGAACGCCTACGACCAGATCGGTTTGAGTTGAACTCAACTCTCCTGCTTCATCTAAATCCCGCTTAATGCAGACCTTTTCCGTGCAGTCAATAATCATACAATAATAATAAAAAAATCCACCATTTGAAGATGTCAGGAAATAACTCTCAGGTGGAAGCATATTTCATGGGCGATTCCCTCCAGTTGAATGCATTAACTTATCAACGACGCTCAACCACCAAGGAGACGTGACCTAGAGAGATCGAGTGCAGGGGAGTTGGCTTCCATTTCTAACAAGTTCCGGATCGAATCTCAATCCATAACCAGTAAAAAAAGGACTCACCCGTAACAGACATACCACCCCCCTTCCCTTCCCGGGTCGATGTTTTATTTTTTCGATTTATTTTTAAAGTCGATAAAGTAGATCTGTCAAGCCAACACAAACACTCTAAAGTACACTGTTATTTTTTTTAATCAATAAATTCGCCAACCAACAGTAAAATAACAATAATATATAATGTTATTGAAAAAAAAATTATATGGGGAAATCACGAAA